GCGGGCTACGTCCACTTCAGCGCCACGGGGAAGCTGCTGCTGTCCGTCGGGGTGGAGCCCGAACACGTCGTCAGCGTGTGGAGGTGGCAGGAAGGTGAGGTCGGCGCGAAACCGCCGCCGACCACTTGTCGCTCGCTCGCTCGCACGCACGCGTCTTTTGACGGCAGGCGCCAGGATCGCCAGCAAAGGGGGCCACCCGGAGCGGATCTTCGCGGTGGAGTTCCGGCCCGACTCGGACAGCCAGTTCGTGTCGGTGGGCGTCAAACACGTCAGGTTCTGGACTTTGGCGGGCGGCTCGCTCTTGTACAAGAAAGGCGCGCTGGGCGCGGCGGAGGACGGCCGCGTGCAGACCATGCTGGCCGTGGCCTTCGGAGCCGTAAGTGTGGAGTCGCCCTCTCGTCTCCGGCCCGCGCGACTTTGCCAAAAGGGCAGATTCCGCGCGGCTCCAAATTCGGAGCAAAGTAGCGCTTGACTGCCCTCCGGTGGCAGGTTAAGGCCATTGCAAATGCGTTTTTGGTCGGCTCCCCGATTTTGTCGGCCGCCGGCTCCCTCGGCGGCCTCTCTCTGTGCGCTCGTGTAGAACAACCTGACCTTCACCGGCGCCATCAACGGAGACGTGTACGTGTGGAGGGAGCACTTCCTGGGGCGGGTGGTGGCCAAGGCGCACAGCGGGCCCGTCTTCGCCATGTACACCACGCTGCGGGACGGCCTCATCGTCACGGGTGGAAAAGAGCGTCCGTGAGTATGCCGCCCGCCCGCCCGCTCGCCCGCCCGCCCCTTGCCCGAGCGGCTTTTGCGGCCGACAGGACCAAGGAGGGCGGCGCCGTCAAACTTTGGGACCAGGAGATGAAGCGATGCCGAGCCTTTCAGCTGGAGACCGGTCAAGCGGTGGAGAACGTCCGATCCGTCTGCAGGGGGAAGGTAGGGGTCGCCGTCCCCATCGCGCCGCTGACGCCAAAGCGCGGGCTAACGCCAGACCCTGTCGGACCGTGCCGGCCGGCCCAGGGCAAGATCCTGGTGGGAACCAAAGATGGCGAAATCATCGACCTCGGGACGCTCGCCCCCGAAAGAGCGCCGAGGCCGACTCTGTTCCGGGTCTCCTAGAAACTCCTGAACAAGGTGACCCTGGGCCATCCCGCCAAGTGCACGTCGTACAGCCCCAACGGCGAGATGGTTTCCATCGGCATGGAGAACGGGGAGTTCATCGTCCTGCTGGTCAACTCGCTCAGCGTCTGGGGGAAGAAGCGAGACCGCAGCGTCGCCATCCAGGACGTACGGTACGACCGAGCCGCTTCTCCTCGCGTGTCGAAGTGGCTCGGGCATCCGATCCGGATGCCTCCCGGGCAACGTCTCGCCGTTCGGAGGAGCCGGAATGCGCCGGAGAGACGACTATGTCTCCCGGCCGGCCCGGGAACGCCTCGGGATCCGGCCGGAAGAAGCGGCTGGGGAGGGACAAGTCCGTCCGGGCTCGCCCCGCCAAAGCTATGGCTGTACCCCGCCGCCCCGCCCCGGATAATGGCTGGAAAATGAATGGATGGATGAATTCTGAGCGCGTATGGTGTGAAGAAAGCGTCGACGTTGCGGATTGTCGTTGCCGTCCGGGTTTTTGCACGAAAAGGCGCACAATGTCCAATGCGTCAAGAATGAGCGAGGTGCGGTGCGCTAGTTTCAGCCCAGACAACCGTTTCCTGGCGGTGGGGTGCGCGGAGAGCGCCGTGGACTTCTACGACCTTTCCTTGGGCTCCTCCCTCAACCGCATCGGCTACTGCAAGGACATCCCGGGCCGCGTCATCCAGATGGACTTCTCGGCCGACGGCAAGCACATCCAGGTCGGAGCCCGCCCCGCCGCCTGCCGTCTCTCTCTCTCGCACTGTTGGGCCGAGCGCAATCGCTTCCCACCCGCAGGTGTCCACCAGCACCTACGCCCGGCAGGTGCACGAGGTTCCTTCGGGCAAGATGCTCACCGAAGCGGCCCTGGTGGAGAGGATCACTTGGGCCACGTGGACGAGGTGAGGGCGGACGGCCGGACGGCTTTTCGGCCTCGCCGGGGGGGGGACGATTTGGATTCCTGGCCCGCCCTCCGCGCGACGGCCCGAAAAATGGCCTTTTGTCAAATGGAACACAATCTCTTCGATTCGGAAGCAAAAGAAGTGCGCTCCATGTTCAGTTGAAAGCGTCGGAATGTGGCGTCTTGTCACCCAGCCGGCGCCGGGCGTTTCTTCGGACCGACGTCCTGTTGTCTTTGGGGCTCATAACCGAGTAGTCAGCAAACGGCGGCCTAAGCCTGCCGCGACGGCGCCGAAAAATCCCTTTGTCTTCCGCCTCCCTCCTCCGGGTCAGGATGCGCGTAACTGCTCGTCCCTCCCCTTTCTTACTCGGCCGCAAAGGAGAAAAGAAAAAGCGGCCGGCGCCTCGTCGTGACTTTTGATGCTATTTGGTCGCTCCGACGCCATCTCCTGACCGTCCGTCGGGGAAAAAAAACGTGGGCAGATTTTGTGGCAAACGTTGAATGTGGCAAATGTGGTCACGCAGCATCCTGGGCGACGAGGTCCTGGGCATCTGGCCCCGCAACGCCGACAAGGCCGACGTCAACTGCGCCTGCGTGTCACGCGCCGGCCTCAACTTGGTGACCGGCGATGACTTGGGCCTCATCAAGCTCTTCGACTTCCCGTGCTCGGAGAAATTTGTACGGAACGACGCCAACGCGGGCGGGGGCACCGCCCGGGGCTAAGCGCCTCGCTTGTCTTTTGCAGGCCAAACACAAGCGCTACTCGGGACACTCGGCTCACGTGACCAACGCCCGCTTCGCTTGCGACGACAAGTTTGTCATCAGCGCCGGCGGCAGCGACCGCAGGTGACGAACGTGCCCGCCGATCCAAAAGTGGCTCGTTTTCTTAAAAGACAGACACGTTTGCCCACTTCGAACTTGGGCCCGTCGTCTTTTTTCCGCTCGTTTTCATGGGCTGAGCGGAGTACCCCACCCTCGCCAGGGGGGCTTTGCGTCCATTCGAAGGCAACGCACGGCGTCAAGCAACGTGCTTGGCGTTGTGCGTTGGCCAACACGGGGCCCAGGTGAGCCCAACTCACTTTCTCGCCCCGCCCCCCCCCCGGTTTTGTTTGACGAAACTCGAGTTCTGATGGGAAAGCCTCCAAATTGACCGACGGCTTCCATCGTGGCGCCTCTCGAAAGCGAGTCACTTTTGACGTTGCTCCCCGAAAAGGCCAAGAAGAAACGACGGGACCGACGCGTTGACGCCGGCGTGTTTTCTCCTTGCAGTTTGTTTGTGTGGAAATGTCAGTAGCCGGCGGCGTCCTGCGGCGGCCCGCGCGAGGTCGGGCCTTTGCGCTCGCAGCGGCAGCGAGCGGCGCCACAAATGGAGAAGCTCGCCGTCCGTCCCTTTTGTCAACTGTCGCCAAACGGCCCCCCCCCCCCCCCCCCCCCCCCCCCCCACCCCAATCAAGTTTCTTTTTGTTTTGGAGCTCGGACGCTCGATGGAGGGAGATCCTAGCGACGAGAGCCTCTACTTTGAACGGAGAACACAAGCGCGGAGACCGCGTCCACGCGCTGCCGGGAGTCGCCATTTGTGTCAAGTTGCCATCTTTGCCGGCCGTGTTTCTCCCCGAAAGCTTGGCCTCCCAACTTTTTGCAAATTGGAAACGGACGGCTTTTCTGGCGCCGGCGCTCCCTCCGTTTGCAACGAGAGAAGAATGGAGTCACGACAGTACTTTGCTGGTGTCAAAACAATGTTCCCACTTGGCTGGAGTTGCTTTTCTGGCTCATTCGCTTGCTTGCTTACTTTAGCTCAAATTGGGGCCATTGTGACCCATCAAGTCCGGTGATTGTCACACACACACACACACACACACACACACACACACACACACACACACACAGCAAACTAGCCAGTGCGCTATGCACGTTTAGCCAACGTCGCTCTTGGCTTGTGGTCTTGATTTATTGGGTGTGGTCGATGCATGCCTGGTTCGGCAAAGTCGCTTTCATTCGTGAGGCAACGCCAGACATCGCTCGCCGTCATGATCTGGAATTTGGCGACGTAGTCCAGCACAAGTGGAGCGTGCGTGTGTGATTTCGTCTTTGTGTTTGTTTCCATTCGGACTGAACCGATTCTGAGCTGCATTTTTCCAAAACGCTTTGAGCACGCGCACGAGCGTATGATGTCATAGGATGTGATTTGAAACAACGGACACCAAGGTAAGCCCGCCGGGATGACTGGAGGACAAGAAAATGCCTGGGAGGGGAAAAAAACAAAACAAATCCTCCAGGTCAAAATTGGAGCCGTTTTTTTTGGTTGATTTATTCATCCAACGATCGAGCTACTCATTCATTGGATTGCCTGTCTGGATCATGCACACCTGTGAAACAAAAGTCATTGCAGCGATCTCATCCACAAACTAGCCAGACGTGCAAAGCCGTTGCCTGAGCAACAAGTGTGTGCGTGCGCGCGCGCATGCGTACATCTATGCACGGATGTGTCCGTCTGTGACGGGGGTCACCGCCGATCGTAGCGGCGTTTGGCTCCACGCGGCTGTGGCTTCAAGAACACTCGGCGCTCGGGTGGATCGTGGCTTTTCTTTGCGACGCGGTACGGCGGGAGCGATGGTGAAGTGGCATTCGGTCTCTGACATAACTGCGCTTTCAAGTCGACGTGTCCAAACTCACGTGACAAAACGTAAATGAAGTCTCACCGTTCAAAAAGCGACGTGGGCCGCAATGAGGGCCGTTTGCCATATGGGTTGTCTTTTGACTCTGTTCTGGAAATATCTCCTATTTGCGAAGCCATTTTCAAAAGTGTCGTTGATGTTTTGAGGTCTTTTTCATTCAAATGGTTGACTCCCTTCAAATCCGTTGACAAAGACGACGACAGAAAAAGGCTTTTGACATCAACTCGCTTGAAGTCTCTCATCATTTCTCAAGATGGCGATTGACTTCAATGTGCGTCGTTGTTGCCGGAAGGCTTTTCATCCGTCGTTCTATTTGACAGCGTCCACAATTTGATTTGGCCACAGCCAGTGCACTTGGAAAAGAATACGCCAACAAAAGGAGAAGAAAGACTGAAACTTGTGTCACTTCAAACCCAAACGAAGGGCACGCAGGCGTTTTTTTTTGTTTTTTTAAATGGTGATTTGCTGACGCTCCGTCACCAGGATACAGTGCTGCCATTTGCTGAGGACGCGTCCGTCGAAAACGGTTCGGCGACCGTCGCCATGTTGTTTGTTTCGCGCGCTTCGATTGATCGGCGTCGCCGGCGGAGGGATCTGCCGTCGCGCTCCCTCCGCCCGCGGCCGACCTCAACGCAGACTGGGCCCCGCCCGCCACGTCGGTTAGTGCCTCGACCGACTGGCCCCCGCGGGGGCGCGGCGGGG